TGTATCGAGAGCCGCCTGTCTTTCCATAACATAAAGGGCAAATCTTTCATAATATGGTGAATTTAAACAAAAAGTCATTAAACTTTAACATTATTTTGTATTAAATAGTGATTAAATTATGATTTTTCTCACATTAGTAGACTTGGACATTTTTTTAAAATATAATAAACAGGAACCTCTTAGTCTGATGGAGTATTGGGGCCATACTAAGAAAAAATAAAATTATGAGAAAAAAGCCGTAAAAATACGACAATAAAGTTCCAATATTAAGAGAATGAAGTCGTAACGTTCAGAGAATAAAGCTCTAATATTTGGACATTAAAGTGGTGGTCATGCATGTCGTCCTGCAGGTCCTGGTTGCTTTCTGAGGGGCTGATCTCGTCTGAAGGAGAGCTGCTGGACTCCTCCGGTGCTGATGCTGAGTGGGGGAGTCTTCACCCCTCATCTTCCTCCTTTCAAACCTCTTCCCCAAACCCAGACTGCAGCCCTTCGCCTAAAACCCCGTCTTCATCCAGCTCTGCTTCCAAAAAATCAGCTCCACCTCTGCCACCTGTGTCCTCTTCATCCTCCTCCTTGTCTTCCTCCGATGTCCAAACTCTGGCTGCTTCCTCCCCCGTCTCCCCATCAAAGTTCTCCTCTTCACAGAAACGGCGGCGCTCTCATTCAGCAGCTTCCTTAGCTAAAGTCGCTTTAGAAAGCCCTCCTTCTGTACCCCGATCCGGCGCGTACCATCACCCCTACCACCCCGAGCCCTGGACGCCGGAGTCGCCCATCCTGCTGCTGCTGTCCCGCTTCTCGCACGCCAGCGACCCCAGTGCGGCGCTGGTCAGCTCGGCCGTCATCTCCGACCTGCTCTGCTACCTCACCCAGCACCAGGACCCCAGCAGCAGGTGCTTCCGCATGCTCTGCCGCTTGAGCTGCAACCCGAGCTGCTTGCAGGCGCTGGTCCGGACCGGTTCCGTGGCGCTGATTCGCCACCGTCTCTGCTCAAATGAAGACGGGTCAGAGGGACGACAAAGGCAGACAGACCGAGTGAAAACCAAAGTGAAACAGCTGGGTAAGAGGAGGAGGGCCGCAACTAATGATCGTTTTAGATATTGATTAATCAGTTATTCTGGCGATTAATTATTTTTGATGATTAATCAGTTATTCTCATGATTAATCGTTATTCTGACAATTGATTATTTTTGATTAATCGGTAAAATTTGCATCTTCTGCAGATTTTTTAAACTACTTAAGCCTTTTATATACAGTATTAGAAATTGATTAAAAGATGAAAATAAATAATTTAACTCTTTTTTTTTTTATGAGAAAATAAACATTTTATTGTAACTGAATTGTCAATTAATTTAATTTGTAATCGATTAACTGTTAACTGGAGAATACAGACTCAAAAAAGCCCATTTGGTAAAAGAAAAACACTCAGATCAGTAATAAAGACAAATTATAAACATTTTGCACTTAAGTAAAAAAAATGTCTTCTTTGTCTGTAAATATCTTCTACCCAGAAATCCACTGTTGGCATACGTTAAGCTTCACCTGGTTCTGTAAAAGTCTCATTAAGCACCTTTTGCTATCCAGTCATTAATTGGTTAATTGAAACAGTGGATTAGCCTGTAGCAGAAAGGCCTTTTTACGTATTTATTTAGTATTATGTTCAGCTGCATATTAATTCTTTGCTACAAATAAACATGAGTGAACCAAAGGATTTTGTGGCAGTTTCTTATTTAGGAAAATAATTGAATTATTTGCATTTTTTTTCACATATTTTTAATATTATATAGAAAGGTTTAAGTGGTTAAATGAGAAATCAGCAGAATGTACCTTTTTTAAATTCAATTACTGGATTAATCATCAGAATAATAGATTGCTAAAATAAATGTTCAGCTCCACATTAAGTACTTCATATAAATGATTAAAATAGAGATTTTCAGTGGGTCTCCATGAACTGAATGTATTTACTCTGCCTGCTGCCTCTCTAGGTGACGCGCTGCTGAATAATTTGCGTGTCCAGTGTGAGTCCGGCTTCGGTTCTGGCGTTCTGACCCATGTGATGCTGTCCGGTTCCGAGTCAGACAGGATGAACTGCGCTCTGTCGCTGCCATTCATCACCAGGCGAGTACCTCACTTTTTAAATATGGGAAGCTGTTTTACTCCGCAGTTGTGAAATTACATTTTCATGTGAACCCTCTGATTTGTGTAAATTTCCTTTCACGTATTAAAAGTCGACAGTTTCTTTATATTTTGGCTGATTTTGCACTTATTTTTCCTCGACAGTGATATTTAAACTGCAGAGGTTTATAATAAAGTGCAATAAAACCCAAATCTGGAAACTTTTCCAGTTGAAACCAGATATTTTCATACATTTAATAAAAACAGACACATTTTTATCTCAGTTATGAAGTTAAACTAAACTTTTCTTGTTTTTTGTTAGAATTGTGGAAATTATTTATATTTCCTAAATGCAATAAAACTTATAGAGAACATGTTTTGTTTTGTTTTTGAATATTTATCAATTCTAATTTCTCAATTGTATTGATCTGTACAAGTCAAATAAAAGTTGGCTTGTATTTTATACATTAAACAACATTATTTAAATTGGGGGATTGTTTTGTTTTAGGATGTGAGGGAGAAGCATTTTAAAACAAAACTAGCGATTATTTTAGTAATCAATTAATCGATTATTCTGATGATTAGTCTAAGAATGACACACTCTACAACTCTATTGCTGCTTATTCCCAGTAGAAAACAAGCAGCAATATATTTAAAACTAATGATTCATATAATTATTAGTAATAATAATAAAACACTTTATGCAGCAATCAGCCGATTATCCCCTGATCAGCTCAGATCAAGGGATAATCGGTCATTCTGAAAATTCTAAAACATGATCACAATTATTCAGATAATTTTCTGTGATGGTAAGATGTTTCTCTGTCAGCACATTTAGCAGCGAGTACATGAGGTTGATTGACAGCGCTTAGACCTTCCTCCTGGCCCTGATTGGTTGTTTTTGATCTTTTCACATATTATCTCAACATGGTGACAGTTTCAACAAATGTTTTAAAAAGTTACTGCGCCTTTAAGGAGACATTTAACTTTATTTTTGTCCAACAGCAACAAATCGTTATTGAAGAAGCTTCTCCTGGATTGCGGCGGCCTCCTTGCGGCGCTGAAACCTCTGGATTGCGCATTTGATGATGATGAGGAAGAGGAAGAGTCGGACTCAGATGTGACTTCTCAGCCTCAGTATTTCCCTCTCCTGTTCGGATGCCTTTCTGCTCTGAGTGGTTCTGTTAAACCCAAACCGGTAGAAAAGAACCCAACCCTGACTCCTACTGGAGCTTCCCCGCCGCTGTTGAAGAAGCCTCGCCTCGAAGACTCGTCCTGTCCGTACGGGAGTTCGGACTTTGACCTGGTTTTGGAGCTCGATGATGCGACCCGGTTCCCAGCCAACCAGGAGGCCGTGGCCGGAGCCGGTTCTGAGTACTTCCGGGCTCTGCTGAGAGGCGGGTTCGGAGAAGAAGCCCAGTGCGAGGCGGACGAAGCCATTCGCATCAAAGATGTGAGCGCAGGCATGCTGCTGCCGCCGCTGCATTACCTTCACGGCTGTCGCTTCGGTTCGGACCCGGAAACCGGAGGGGAATGTCAGACTTTAAACTCCCTGGTTCTGGACGGACTGGATCGGGCCGAGTCGCTTTCAGCTGGAGGTTTCCAGAAAACCCCGTTAGGCGAAGCGATGGTCGGCGCATCCAGGTTTCTGGTTCTCGACCTCCAGAGGGAGTTGGAGGAAGTTTTTCTGTCATTTCTCGAATCTTGGTCCGATCGACCCAGTCGGTCAAACAAAACCCACATCGTAAAATCTGAACCGGACCAGAAGAGTTCTGATCCAACGTCGGAGCTCGAGGTGACGGCGCCGACCAAAAAACTAAACGGTTTGCCTGAAAAAGTGGAAGAAAAAGACGCGTCGTTCACTGGACTCAGCAGAAGTTTGGACCAGAACACGAACCTTTCTGGGTCCAAATCAGAAGAGGACCAATCCGCCTCGTTGACTGGTTTGGTGGTGTCGCTTCCCCAGTTGTACTGGTTCTCCCAGCGCTACAGCTACCCGGCTCTGGGCCGGGCCTGCCTCGCTGTGCTGCTGCGCTTCCAGAACCGACCCGGTCCGTTTGCGGATTGCCTTCGCAGACTGACCAGAGAGGCCGACTGTACGGAGACTCTGAGGCGGGACCTGCTGAGCCTCGTTTCAGCGGCTTTAGTCTGAAATCTGGTTCGCTTTGACCACAGAAAATAAACGAGCGGTGCTTTATTTCCATCATTTTCACAGCATTTTATTTTGATGCAATCAAAGAAAAATGTCCGTTTGACAAAAATCTGTTAAAATGCTTTTTTTTCCCCCCCGAAATTAATTTCTTTGGTGTTTATTTTGTATATAAAGATGAAATTTAATGGAAGAAATATGTAAGCATATGAGCTGTGCCACATAAATATATGGTCACGTCACTTTGGTGTCGTTTATTTTTTCCTCTCAGAAATGTTCAGTACCATGACATCAAATTTCCGCCAAAAACGTGAACATTTCTGTTGAAATCTTTCAAGTTTTTTTTTTTCTAGAAAATTTCTGAAATTAATCTCAAAAAGTTTTTTTCTGGCAAATTTTTGACTTTTCAAACAGAAATTTTCACATTTTTGGCAGAAAATGTTGATGTTCAAACTGCACAACGTTGATTTAAAGCCTAAATTTGGAAAACGTCATTTGCAGTTGAATCCAGATATAAAAAAAAAAGACATTTTTTCTCATCGTTTCCTGTTAAGTCAGACCAAATTTCTCTTATTTTAGGTCAGATAGAATTACCAAAATTGTTTCTATTTGGTAAATGCCAGAAAAACTAAATTAATTGAATCCGATTGATTGCGATTAATAGATTAACTGTTTCAGAAATCTATATTTCTGGCTGACATTTGGTTCCAAAATGCGACGAATCATTTTTAACATAAAGTATAATGGATATCTGATGCTTGATGCATGTTTTATTACAGGAGAAAACAGAAGCAGCTTAATCCAGGATGAAGTTGTTTTATTGTTGGCGGTGCAGGTCGGCGTATTTGAAGCAGCTCAGATAATCAATAATAACGATCAGTGATCTGAGCCCTCGTAACCTTCAGGAAGAGCGTTTGCGTGAGAGTTGTGGAACAGCGTGTGGTTTCCATCGCCCCAAGGAAATTTCTGGAAACAGACAATAAGTATTTATTGTCAGTTATTGTTTTAAACGGAAATCTAAACGTGAAAACTGTTTGCAGACTCACCTTGGAGCGGATGCGCAGGTGTGAATAGGGAACAAATTCGGGCTGCTCATGTTCCTGCGCCTTCATGAAGGCGTTGGCCATGCAGACGCCGACGCCGGGAAAAGCCACAACGATGGTCAGGATCTTCCAGGTTTTTGCTGCTGAAACAAACAAATTGATCGAATGCGAAAAAGTGGGTTTGCATGCGACACAGAGGTAAAACGGATAGTTGTAGATGGAGAACAAAATGAGCAAAGTCTCAGAAACTTTGAGAGATATAAAGTTTTAAATAGAAAATTTGGAAATTTTCTGAGTTTCAAAAGTCACAAAAATGCTTGAATAAAACGTTTTGAGCTCAATCTAAGAAATTTTCTAGAAAAACATTTGAGTTTCAAAATTAACATTTTCCACTTTCAGAGTTTGAACTTGAGATTTTTTTCTAGAAAATTTCTCAGATTAATCTAAAAAATTTCAGTTTTTTTAAAGAAAATGTTATAGAATACATTTAAAATGTTATAGAAAATTTCTTAGATTAATTTAAAAATATCAGTCTTTTTTGTCTTTTTCAAATTTTCAACTTTTGGAGCTCAGAAATTTCTTAGAAATTTTTTTGACTTTTCAAGCTCAAAATGTCCGATTTATTTGCTAAAAATTGTCTGAGATTAATCTAAAAACTTCTGAGTGTTTTGGAAGAAATTTACTCCTACGTTATTGTCTACAATAGACCTAACGTGTAGTTGTACGTTGGGTGCTGTGCTAGAGCGGGCGCCACAACGATGGCAGGAAAGTTGTTCCTGCTGGAGAATGAGCCAGGGCACCATTTTCCCCCTGATTGAGTCATGCTGCCAAAGAAAGCTCTC